GCGTCTGAAAAAACGAGCGCGTCTGATTTCGCTCCCCTAGTGACATTGCAAAGGGATCTCATTATAATATTACTGCCCCTTAATCTGTATGTTTCCGCCCGCGACGCCGTCATTTTGATTTCACTGTTTACCTTCACAGACATAACCGACTGTTTTTGTAACTCGTGTGATTTTAATTTAAATTTGTGTGTGAATGAAAACTTAGTTTAGTACTCACATGCTGTGACAGCCGCTTTCTGTCTGTGTGCTTCGGATGTGTGCACTCAGAAAACCGTATATAAGAAGTTTAAACTAATATGGTTTAAAACGCATGATTTCAGCACGATAAAGATGATGATCAGAACGACTTATATTACATATTGTAAAAAGGGGCATAATATGTCTCCTTTTAATTAATTAATCAGAATTAACATAATGTCCATGATATTCATAATTATAATTAAATACATTTCTGTACAGTGATCATGTGGCCATAGATAATACATGCACATGCCGGCTGAGTGTAATCTTAATTATATTCATGTATTATCAGAGGAATACATGATAACTTTCAACTCTGCCCTGCCTGTCTTGCAGAATGATTCCCTCCACGAGTTACGACTTCCTGGTGCGAGACCTCGTATCCGGACGGGAGTACGACCTGTGCGTTCTGGCCGTCTACGATGACGGCATGACCTCGCTGACCGCCACGCGCCAGGTGGGCTGCATCTCATTCGTCACAGAGACGGAGTACAGCCAGTGTCAGTCGCTCCACAGCCACTTCCTGGGAGGCACCATGATCATCATCATCGGAGGAATCATCGTGGCCTCCGTCCTCGTTTTCATCATCATCCTCATGATCCGGTATAAAGTCTACAGCCATCATGGGGCAGATTCCGGAAAGGGGACTGCTATGACAAACGTGCGCTCGCAGACCAATGGGGGGCAAGCGGCGGGGCAGGTCCCGCGCTCCAGCTCCAAAATCGTGGAGGGCCAGGAGGCCACGGGAGCGGGTTTAGGGGGGGCCGCCGGAGCCGCCGCTAGTTTAAAAGACTCCACTGCCATGGTGCTGGTCAAAGACTCTGAGACAACTGTGCAGATATCAGAGATGATCTCCGAGGACATAGTCTCCCCCACACAAAAGCACCATCCTAGGACTTGTATAGAGCTCAAGAGACGGCCTTCTCTGTCCTCCAAAGAGGGTACAAGTACAGACACACCAGGAGGTATGTACACTCAAAAAAAAAAGATTTTTTTAAGTTGTAAATAATTTAAAAAAGATAATTGGAGTATGTGTGTAATATTTAGTAGCAATTTCTGAGTAAAAATTTGTTCATTTTATTTATTTATTTATTTTTCAGTGTTGTGTTCTATGAAAAGTTCATCCAAAAATAAAAATGTGCTGAAAATGTACTCAGCCTCATGCCATCCAAGATGTAGATGAGTTTGTTTCTTCATGGGAACAGATTTGGAGAAATGTAGCATTACATCACTTACTCACCAATGGATTATATGTAGTGAATGGGTGCCGTCAGAATCCAAAAAGCTGATTAAAAACATCACAATAGTCCAGAAGTAATCCACACAACTCAAGTCCATCAATTTACATCATGTGAAGTAAAAAGCTGCATGTTTGTAAGAAACAAATTCTTTGCTATGTGCATATTTATCTACTGATTCAGATGAGACAACTTTTTCACAGGGGAAGTCAATATTATGGATTATGAACTTGTATTTTAGCTGGAATAAATGGTTTGAAATAAAAAAACAAATGTCTTAATAATGGATTTGTTTCTTATCAACACACATCTTTTTGCTTCACATCTTTTTGCTTCACTGATGGACTGAAATTTGATTACTTGTGTATTATTGTGATGTTTTTATCAGCTGTTTGAACTCTCATTCTGACGGCACCCAATTACTGCAGAGGATCAATTGGTGAACAACTGATGTAATGCTAAATTTCTCCAAATCTGTTCTGATGAAGAAACAAACTCAACTACATCTTGAACGACCTGATGGTGCATATAATTCAGCAAAGTTTCACTTTTGGGTGAACGGTAACTAGAAAGTTCATGCATTTGTTACACATGTAACTACCAAATGGTTTTTCACTGTAAAATGCAGCTAAAAAGAAAATTTTAAGCAAGTACAAAAAAGAATGTGTCATTAAAACCAAAGGCAAATCACTTGTGTGAGTTAAACGCTTAAGGTTGCTTGCAGGCAATTGCACATTCACGTAACCTTTTGACAGCAGGCTTTTAACAATGCCCGGGCACCTTACAGCTGTTTCGAGTGCATCTATATAGACTCTTATAATTGCCAGGAATAGAGCTATTCACCTGATTCAATGGGCCACGTCCAGGTATTCCTTAAAGAGCTTTTCCTTTGTGGTATTTGGATTTATGGGTCCAGTCAGGTAATTGCAGTCAGTTTCTAGGTGAATGCTCATGGAATTCAAGAGGACCTCATCCTTTAACTCATTAAAAGTCGATAAAGTCCATTCAGTCAAGAGCCGCTGATGCAGAAGGGTGAACTTCCATGATTCTCCTGATCCCGTCAGTCACCCAGGCACCTAATGGCCGTGAATTAAAAGTAATCATTAGTCAACTAAGTTAGCACAGGATGTGAATTAAATAGTATTATGTCTGAATGAGCATGATGGCTCCGACAGGCACTTTTTTAGGACCTGAAATAGGGTCTTTTCTTTTTAGTTAATGGCCAGTGAAATGAGAGACATAACCTTTATAAAATGTTCATTGGAAACCTCAACTGATGAAACAAAATTGTACTGTATATGAGCTTTATTAAAAGCTCTCACAGATAAATAACAAACAAACAGACAATGGATTCATGAAAAGTGCCAACACTTACCTCACAGGATTGTGTTTCTGTATAGCTACCGATCCAAAAATGGCATCCCACCAACACACTGTCGATAAACAACATGTAGTCATAAGAAATGGCTTTGTATATTACATAATACATCAGAGGAATCTGTGTATGGAATAGTATATTGTATTTATTCCTCGTGTGCAACAAACACTTGATTAGTTGAACAGCTACAGTAGTGTCAGATCTTGACATCAGAAAGGCATTTGCTTGTTGTAAATCAAAAGGCTTTGTACCAGCAAAGAATGTGTTTTCCCTTGCCACTGCAGAGGAGTCAGGATTACACTGCTCTCTGGAATACTTCATTTTGATTGGTCAGTTGCAGCATTGTGGCGTGAAATTATGTTGTATAATGACCATTATGCAGTATATTTGACCTGCGTTCCTTTGCTGTGCTAGTCTCATTGCTCTTATCAAAGTGGTAACCTGCAGTTGCTACCTTAAAAAGCCACTTCTACCTGATTCAACCCATTAAAATTTGTTTTGTTGGTATAAATTGATGTATTTAGGTTGGTTCAGAAGGTAAATATTATGTTTGACTTCAGTGTAGTCTCTTTCCCGTAACATAAAACTACTGTAATTAACCTTACTTTTAATAAGAGTGCTTATTACAAAAAATATATAATAATATTAATAACAATAATAATAATAATAATAATAATAATAATAATAATATACTTAAATGCAAACTGCATGTAATGTTTCTAGACATTAATTTTATGTCAATTGCAATTAAATGAATGTAAAAGACATGGAAAACATGAACATGAAACAAAACACCACATTACAAAGTGTATTATAGTGTACATTTATATTAAATTTAATTATCTGAAATTAAGAGTGCTTTTTTTAACAACTTAAATCAAGCGTAGCGTTAGTTCTGGCAGGTCACATTAGTCAAGCTCGCATCAGCTGACCTTCAGCTG